ACGCCCGTCCGTTTGGGTCGCCGCTTTGGGCCGCTATTTCTACCCATTTCGACCCAAGCGGACATGCGCGGACCAAATAGGGTCGTGCATTGGAGTTGGCCTTACTTGCTTGTCACACACGTCTATGGGTCATGACCAATGCAAAACCTGGCTAAGTGGGTCCCCACTGAACATGTTTGGCATGGTCCATGGTGGCCCGTTTATCCAAGACATATCCATCCAACTTGTGTGAATACCCCTAAAAAAACTTGTGTAAGTTCTCTGAGAGAAACTTATTGACCAAAAAATTCAAGAAGGAAAGATTGTATTTCGAAAAAGGGTGGATTTTATTAGCTCAAAATGAAGCATCAAGAGAATACAAACATGATGAGCACACACCCGGCCTCTGCACAACTAGAATGCACACAACCAACACCAACCCACACAAAAAACACGCCAGCAAATAGCAAAGTCATATAAGACCAAAGCTATGCATGGGCGAGGAAAAGGAAGAAAGAAAATAAAATCAAAGTGATCAGTTCCGTGATCGGCAAACTATAGGAAAGACCATATCCGCACCAACCGTCTCAATACACCATATGAACATCGTGATTCTTCAACAGAAACACCTTCAGGAAGGGAGCAACGCTGAAACGTTGTCGTCACTGGATCCAGCAGTCAACGCCGGAATCTAGGTTTTCACCCTGAAGAAATTGTCTGAGCATATCCGAGCAATGCCTTCAACAAGGTAACGATGTATAACCATCTCCATTGCCAGAATTCAATTCTGTGCTTTCACCCCGGAGCTCGATACCGGGTACTTAAGAAGCACCACCATCGACGTCACAAATATGTTGTCGCCACCACTTTTCCACGACCCCGGCAGCTACATGCGATGCGCCACTGCACAACCATTCCTCTGCATCAAGCTGACGTCCATAGTTTGCATCTCATCGCCGAAGTGAACAATCAGATCGAAAAGATGAACTATCGAAGATCTTTCGATGTACACTGCCGCCGTGGAGCCACAAGAGGTTGCTACACCATCATAGTTTGCAACCATCATCTCTAGGCCGAATAAGATCTGGATCACCGTTACCGCCTGAGATATCGCTCACAGACGACGGGAGACCGAGCCGCCATCTAGCAAGGCCTGGCCCAAGCGACGCCCGAGGCACGCATCGGCTCGACCAAGTCCACACGTCCCAGCGCGCTGACGCATCACCCGCCGCCATGCCCATCAGATCCAGGTTGCCGTTGTGAGCACATGCCAGCAAGGAGCCAGCCCGAGGCACCACCGGTGTGACCCGGTGTTGCCATGCCGGTCAACACGAGGCCAAGGCAGCCGGTGCACAGGACCAAATCCATGTGGATCCATGATTGCCGCGCCGGCGGCCCCTCACCAATGAGCCGTCTCCGCGAAGCAGCGTGCCACCGAACAACCAATGTCGTCGGAGCAGCCGCCACGGATAGATCTGGCAAAGGAAAGATTGTTTTAGGTGATTCCGAGCTTCTTTCTTGAATCACAAAGACCTAGATCCTTCCTTTCCTAGTGTTCGTCTCTCTTCACTTCAAATCTATCATTTTGTGTGTGTGAGAGGAGAGAGAGAGATGGAGAGAGAGAGATCTTACGAGCTCTTGGGAGTGCTTGGATTGGACATCTTTTTGAGGAGTTTTACCAAGTCACTTTACTTTGCTTGTTACTGTTGGAGGATGTGTACGCCTCCTAAACAATTATGAGTCATTTGAGATCCTTCATCCACAATTGTGAAGGAATTAAGAGTTTGCTCAAGGTCTACATATCGCCGTCTTAGTGGAAAAGATACCTCGAGTGAGACCTGCGCTTTATGGTCCATAATCTATGGTGGAAATAGGTGGGCATGCCCCAAGTGGGCTCTTTGTAGTCGAAGCCATCGGTACCTTTGTGGTTTGAACCTTCATTGACGAGGAGTAGGATAGCACAAACTATCCTAACATGAGTAAAACATCATCGAGCCTCCCAATGTTTGCATTGCCTTACTATATTTTTTTTACTTTCATGCATTGTCCTGCTTCTGCTCATTATCATTTCATAGACTTGCTAGTTAGTATCTTTAAGCAATCTTGAGTGTAGCCTAAAAACCACCAACCTAAAAATTTGAGTAGACAAAATCATTACAAGACCAAAAACTCACACTATGAATCTAGAACAAAAGAATGGGCAAAAAGCGAGCATGAACTGCAAAAGGGTAAGATATCAACAAACTTCCGCTCGAATCTGGTTGTTCTGAGCAAGGATGAGTGCCAATGCACGTGAATGGATGGACCACCATTACAAGTTTTTCTCAGTTGTGTACGCATTAACAATTTAGAGAGAGAGAGATGGGGTCATCAATTTCGTGGTCACCGAGGAATGTTGTCTCGAGGATGAAAGGCGAGGCATACTCGCGGTTGAGAAAAATAAGGGAAGAAATGACTCGGTTAATGAAAATGAAGCGTCTGGACTAGCTATGGGATGTCACTCAAAATTTCAATGTACTTCAGAATCATCAATTGATTCTAGGTGGCACTAAAACAACTGGGATCCAAGAATTCGTTTCCAACTCTCTAATTCCAGTGCCTGTTTTCCATATGCACATTTTATTTTTGTTGAAAAACAACATCAGCTTATAACATCTGAATGTAACACACATGAGTTTCATACTCATGGTCCTAAAAAAAACATAAGCACAAAGTTGGATCTTTATGGTTGATGTTGCCGAGACCTTTGTGGTTCAGACCACCATGAACGAGTAGGATAACACCAAC